GGGCGTGACAGATACAGTTACATGCCAAACACTATACGTTCATGTACAAAACTGAGCTAATCGTAATAAGGAGGTCGAACAACTTTGACGGTGGATTACAAACAGAGGCTGAGTCTGACAACACCGAGTCGGCGATTGATTACATTCAAAGAGCAAGGAAGCTGACAGCTGTACTCGTGATGAAGTGAAGCAGACGACACTGCGACTGAAGAGATTCACCTCCCTCCTCGACCGGGAATCAATATAAGCAGCCGACGCCCAGATTGGAATACATTGGCCTCGCCCTCAGTTTCAGAGCGACCCAGGAACAGCTGTAGGCTTTGGGCAATGGCGGACATGTGTGTGGGAAGGATTGGGCTGGCTGTTTTCGTTCAATGTGGCTGATAGCACAAGGTGACCGAACGTCAAGAAACTCGTATGCAGAATATTGCATTCTTTATATTGCGTTAATGTGCTGGCACTTATGTGTCGTAACTGCAACTTAATAAAGCTACATGATTGCGCCAGAGAGTCGATGGCATGAGATGGACAGATAGGTCTCTCAATAAAGGGATTTGTTCCGCGTTATAAGAACACAATGGCTTTTGATGCGGTAAACATGTGGCGACAGTTTAGAAAGCACTTTGTTTTCTCATGATGATAGTGAGGTGGAAGCTGCCCTCACTGATACCTGCAATGCAGAAGACGGCCTTTCTCTAGAGACGGACAGGTACACAGAGTTGGACGGCTAAGAATACTCCCTCGTTTAAACGCGCTGAATGTAAAGCAAATAGCTTCGTGCGATGTCATGGCGGCTTTCTGAACGATTTGTCTACAACGCGTCATTGTCGTGAGCAGCCTTCTTAAATATTAAGACCAATAAACTACGATTCGCTAGGACACAAAACAAACTCACTTTCAATTTTAACGCTATACACATCTTTATCACAGATCCTTCTTGATGTTGTCATTAGACACCAAGTTGGCAACTTGAACTTGCCGTGTCATGCACACCGCGTAGGTGCTTCCGGTTGCGATAATTGCCTGCTTCGGAACTACTTTCAGGGAAAGCATTCGCAGTTTTCAAATTGCGAGCAGGCTTCGACTATGAATAGCGCACAATGTATGACTGCGCTAATGGCGTCATTATAAGAAAAATATGGATTTCGATAGATATACTAAATATTGTCAACAGCACAATCATCCAGGTAATATTGCTAAACAGGTTGCGAACCTAGGACCCTATCCACAAAGTGTTCACAGCATTACGTCATTCGTAAGCCGGTGATGTAGCGTAGAGTTCCTATAGGTCGTAACATTACGAACGCTTTGTGGAGAGGGACCCTGAAGTCCAAGGTTTAATATCGGCATCGATCCACTGATCAGGAGCCTCATTTGGATTTTTGCTTTGACCTTTATAATACGAGCTACACTGTAAACTGAACAAAAGTCACGATGTATCGATTGCAGCATGATCGGTGGCAATACATATTTGTGCCTGACAAGTTTTTTGCCAAGTGGCTGTGTAATATTACATATAGTATATATATAGGATCATATTATGAACGTCCGTCATCACGTGTGTTTCAATTTGTAATGAACCGAACGATTATTTACCAAACAAGATGTGCTAAAACTGATACGACCTTGCGAACATAAGTAGACGAATGTGACAGTAATCATAAGGTTTTAGTTTGAAATATGGTTTGTAGTCACGCAGGCAGGGAGGACGCAAAAAGACAATTTGACACTAGTTTTAGTACACTTGTCCCAAGACATTTGTTCTGACATTATTCGGATGGAGGCAGCTAGTGATTCGTTGGTTCCTGAACTGGAACCGAACCTTTTACTCGCCTTAACGTAAGTTATAACCGGTAATACTTGACCTTGACCTTGAACTTTGAAGCTTGGAATTACCTAAAAAAAGCAGTGTTGTGGCTAAGCGTTTATATAATTGACTTTAGTCGGGTTCCAAAATGAACTTAAAGAATAGACTGTTATAATCATACATTAACAGAGAATAATTGCCTCTAGCTATAGCTATAGATTACAGTCGTATAAGAAAGCTTTGTGAAAACAGCAATCCTTTCCCAAAGGCGATCTTCGTGATACGACCAACGTAAGTCTATGTTAAAGTGACCGTAAAAGCGCCCTGGTCGCTTTAGGCACAGCGGGTGCCTAGGAGTGGGACTAAATGGTCTTTTGAAGGCATTCGTTCTGCAAAGGATGCTCTCCTCCTTCACAGGATGAGCCATGGCTGATCCATAGCATTGCAATATCAGTAGCAGTAGATGGTGCGAGCTGATGGAGATCTCCCATACTTTAACATTGACTTACGACTATCGTAGCGCTACGATCGCTTTGAGTGGCGGGGCCCAGAAGTCTCTGAACCGCACGCGTTCTTGTTCATCTATTATACACCATAGAACTATTTATTCACAATACCAGATGCTTACTTCAGACATCACGGCCTTAGTTTCAATACGTGTCGATTCGGCATTGAAATAGAAAGAAAGAACTTTCTACGACATAAATGACCCGAGCCGACACGTGCTGCCGGGAGACGCTGGGAGAGGATTCAAATGACAACTCCTCAACCACGACCTGTACAGGGGAGCATTTCTAATCGATGTGAAGCCCCAGCATGATCTTTACCACTTCTATCTCATATCTGCAGATGGTTACAGCGTCACCTAAATCCATTACCAGGGCTTGTGGGATGCAAGAGAGGCCCGGAATGAGGATGCCAATCATTAATGAGCACTCCAGCAGCAGACACCCTGGCACTTACAGCAGCCTCAATACTTGAGGTATCCTCGAGGAGAATTCATCAGCTCGGTAACCTCGCTCTTCACTCCCAGCGCTGCTCACGGGCGATGTTTTACTGTCAGCGGCCCTATACATGAATACGACAAACGGGTGTATACCCGCTCGCGCTGTGGTCAATGTCGACTGTGTTAGTACCGGAGGTGTAAATACAAAAACGTTTTTGCCTCACACGCGATGTTGTCCGTGTGTACTCTGTACGAGCAATCAACGAGTATCTGCTAATTCGTGTATGTATATTGAGCTATATTGAGCAATGCAAGACTTTGCCCACAGGGTGTCAACACACCAACTATTAGTATAGGGAATGTTAAATGCATCTATGCACACATTTCACAAGACCAGAGACCATATAATAGCCTCTGACGAAATAAAAGTAACGTGTATATTTTAAGTCACGATGGTTTTATTGATTTCCTTCTTTGAAGTTCAATTTTAAAAGCTGTATCTTGATACATCAATATTTAATTCATTATCACTTTACGAGATCATATTCGTCAAAAGACATCGTACTATCTTGGCACGTCATTAGTTTTCTGAAAAGCAATCTTGACAACGTGGACATGAAAGGAAAAGCAATCTAAAGGGAGGTAAGTACTGTGTAGGAAAATATACATAAAGCGCCATTGTGCACTGTTCTTAATATACAACACGATGCGGATGTCAAGTGATATCGGTTGAACAGTGTCATATACTCGTATCGACGACGAATGGTCCTACATATGTGCTAAATTACATTTCAAAATGTTAAAATGTATCCCTTTGTCGATTTACCTAGCAGCTTGTCTGATATTGTCAGCGAAAGGGAGATAACTCTGTTGAGCGATACTAAAAGATGTGCCTAAAATTCCCTAAGTCATTACATGAAAGTGGTTCGTATCGTCCCTAGTACCCGACAGTAGCGTAAACCTGTTTTTCGCCGTTTGCAGCAACTCCAGCCCGACCAGTACTGGAGACGAGTTTTACAACACGTTGGCCATATAATGTCATGTTTACAATAATTGAGGGTCATACGTATGTTGTGCTCACCGAACTGTCCTGCTTAGTATATAGTGCCAACTGATTTGCGCTGTTTGGTAACATAAAGAGGCACCTATCTGGAGTGAGTAAGTGAGTGAGTTATTATTATTATTTAACGTCACATCGGCAATATTTCAGCCATATCGTGACGACAAAGCTCTAAGAGAACACCAGACAATGGAGCTCCTAGCATGTAGACATCGATATCGACATACTACTCGACATGTCATAGGGATAGTAACTAGTAAGGTTTTCATGCTGTTGTAAAACATGATAAAACCTGGGACGGTGGGGTAGCCCAGTCGTTAAAGCGTTGGCTCGTAACGCCGAAGACCCGGGTTCGATTCTTCACATGTGTGAAGCCCATTTCTGGTGTCACCCGCCGTGATATTGCTGCAATATTGCTAAAAGCAATACTCACTCACTCACTCACTGATAAAACCTGTTTGTTTCGTGTTCGTCTCAGTTCCTTAACAGTGCAGAATACAAACAACATCCATCTCAAACATTGATACCATCTACGTGACCCCATTTGCATTCCTTTGGGATCTGGATACCAGGTGTATCAGATCGGTATGGATTTTGTGTCGAGTGTTTTTAACGCAAGTATCCCACAGAAAATTCTTGCTATCCCCATATGATTATCACAGACGGTCTATTGTTGCGGTCTGTTGTAATTAACTCTGTTTTAGACAAACATGTATGGATTGTGTAAAGTTAACTACATTTAATAAAGATCGATTGTCAAGCAGTGTTCCTGAGCGGCTGATTTGAGAATCATATGAAAGTTAAGTGTGGTTGTTGAGGGCAAGGGGGGAGTTTACATTTAACTTACATGTGCGGTATATCAAAACAGAAACATGCACATCAACTTCACAAAGTAAACACAGAAGTGCTAGAAGTATAAGAAGAAGAAGATTTATCCATGACGTGTTTTATTATGAAAATGTTCAAACATAATAACAATAGTTTCAGAATTGTACATTCGAGGTGTTCTATTAGAAATATTGTGATTTCGATATCGTATACAATATAACATGACACTCTCCCGCGACATTGTGGAGAGGTCGATGTAAAACTGAACAGATAGGTTTGGGAATCTTACTATTACATTGGTCGAAACTGGCAGATGTTTCCAGTCATGGACAGAGCAATGCCCTGTCTCAGCGAAAGTTTCAGTCTGACGAGGAAGCTTTAGACTCCGGTGGCCATTTCACCGGATCAAATGAGTGCAGTCGATTGACGATAGCCTCCACATCACCAGTAGAATACTGTTTTCCACTGGACGTTTCATTTTTGGGTGCGAGATCTGACTCAGCTGGAGTCCCTTTCGACTCGGCGGGATGCTTCTTGGGATTGTAATCACTGAGCCTCTGGACTACCTGGTGTATTTCTGAATCCGTATATCCCCTTCTCACACTGCGTGGCGTTTCAGGATCTTTCGCGGGGAATCCTCGTGACTCTGGAACGCGACTGACGTCATACGTTGAAAGCCTTGTTGTGATTCTCTTTACATCAGCAGACGTGAACCTGCGTTCTGGAAGAACCGGAAGTGATCTGAGAGTAGGTAGATCCCGGTTGGACATGCTGCCGGATGCGTCATCAGCGTCTGTGTCAAGCTGCGATAGGTATGGGAGGTAGCATTTGGGGAGTCTGGTGGGAAGACGTTGACGTTCGATGATTCTTCTTCCTGATAAGATGTTGATGGCTGGGTTCTCGACAGTCCGCCTCGAGTGCATCCTTCGTGGAACGTTTCTGTGAAGCGTGGCCTGCATGCCTGTATCAGACGTCGGGAACACAGACCTGTAATGGTAGTACTGTCGACTCGACGACCACGCCAAAGGAGTTGATGACGTCATGGTCGGGGTAGGTTACGGTCAATATAAGATACAAATCAACACATGTGTTAAACAGTCATTTGGTGAAATGAGAAAACACAACTGATTGTCTATCTTCCACAATCGTTGAGGGTTCGATGACAAAGTCTCCAGATGCCTCAGTGGTTGGAGCAACGTGACAAGTTAGCGTGCAGCCAAATGACTTGTGGTCTGGACAAGGACTCCTGACCAGTGGTAAGTGTTGCCTACCCCTCAGCTGTTAGATATGGCTTTTGTCATCATGACAACGGTGTGCATTGTTACTGAGATCGGATCCTAGCAAGGTGGTAACTAATGCGATTTATCAGGTTAACACAGTCATAAGAAGGGTTAAACTAACGAACCGTTCCCAGAGGGAATTAACGAAATCTCTTCTGATCGGTAGACTGCAAGGAGTGCAAGTATTACTTCTTTTCCCATCATGGCTGTAAGCTGTAAGCGTTTTACGCCCTGGAAGTTAGATTAACAGAAAAATTTCGTAAATTATCTTATAAAAATGTAAGAAAAGAGAGCACAGAGATTTTCTTCATTTTCACAGAAACTGCAGTGATCTAGATTTGATAAATAGTATGCATGGTTAAACTTGTTACAGGGTCTTAGTTAAAACGTTAGTGGTTCTGTTCTTGTTAATAATTGGAACAGGAAAACGTGTTTTCCCCTTCCACTGTCGGTTTCGTAGTTGAAGAGGCTCATAACGTTTTTCGTATTTGTCCTGCAATGCATGACATACGCAGGTTATACAACACCATGTGTCTCGTGGATATATGTAATGTAATGCTATTGCCATGGTGATATTGCTATTTGATATATGTATACCACATGTCTGTCTGGTATTACTCAGGCAAGGCCTATACAAGTCCAAGTGTTTCCCTAGGTAAAAGCAGGCAAGGCCCTGACCACGTCTCACGTCAAGCCGGTTGTACAGTTACCTTTATACGGATCTATATGTATCTTACAAGGCACTAAGGGAACGCTATGGCAAACCATGTATGTATTCACTAATCCCACGTTAGCATGGCGAGTTCATTGATAACCACCTGTGTTTCAGCAGTATTGCATTTAGATGGGAGTTCGTTTGTTGCTGTGTAACGTCGCACTCTGCAGTGTCGAGAGTCGAGTCAACCGAGCTACTGATACTGTGAACAAGGATTCACATCATGGGGCTATGATGGCACGCAATCATCCAAGTCATCGAATCTCACCATCCAATACATTTGTTTGCCTTCAATGATCAGCATGAGTTTCTGGGGCCAATTCTGACACGGAATAATCGTAAGAATGAGAGTGTGAGAAGGGAGCAAGGGGCATTGGTCGGTAATTCCATAATGTAAGGACGTGTCAATGTAATGCAGCCACAGGTGCGTGTCACGCTTAGAAACAGCGTTAGAAAGACATATAGGTGTATAGACCCTATCCTAATACTATCCTTTTATATAGTACTAGGGTAGGGTCTATATACCTATATGTCTTTCTAACGCTGTTTCTAAGCATGACACACAGGGCGTTGGGGTAGCGTAGTGGTTAAAGCGTTCGTTCGTCACGCCGAAGACCCGGGTTCGATTCCCCACATGGGTACAATATGTGAAGCCCATTTCTGGTGTCCCCCGCCGTGATATAGCTGGAATATTGCTAAAAGCGGCGCAAAACTAAACTCACTCACTCATGACACGCCCCTCTGATGCGGCAAGAACCCAGCGGGTGCAGTTCGGAGACGTTGAGTGAAACATTTGAAAGCCTCATGTTTGCACTTTGCTAGCATTGTTTGTTTTATATTGTTTAATGTTTCAGTTATTTGTTCATGTTGATTTTTGTCTAAATTTCGATATTTTTCTTGATAGTTCAATTATACTACTTCAGTTTCGAGTGTGTTCTTTCAGTTATTTGAACTTCATTCCAAAACCTCGGCAATTTCGAGTATTATCTCGAAAATAATCAAATCACATAATTGAAATAACGAGAGATTTGGTTTTAATAAATATTTCATGTTGCCAATGTGGCCTCATTCGGCTTTCGTAGAAACTCACTGGCAGAGTAAGACACTTGGCCACGCTGGGATCAAGAACTATGATCAATGAATCTGTGTTTGCCAATCTGGGACGGAAAACTGCACAGCCAGTCCTGTGAACCCGATATGACTTTCATTGTGTGTGAGAAGGCTATTACTGAGATATGACTTTTATTGTGTGAGAAGGTTATTACTGTGAAATGTCCATTGTTGAGATATGACTTTTATTGTGTCAGAAGGCTATTACTGTGAAATGTCCATTGTTGAGATATGACTTTTATTGTGTGAGAAGGTTATTACTGTGAAATGTCCATTGTTGAGATATGACTTTATTGTGTCAGAAGGCTATTACTGTGAAGTGTCCATTGTTGAGATATGACTTTTATTGTGTGAGAAGGCTATTACTGTGTAATGTCCTTTGTTGAGATATGACTTTTATTGTATGTCAGAAGGCTATTACTGTGTAATGTCCTTTGTTGAGATATGACTTTTATTGTATGTCAGAAGGCTATTACTGTGTAATGTCCATTGTTGAGATATGACTTTTATTGTGTGAGAAGGCTATTACTGTGTAATGTAGTTGAGGACTTTTATTATGTCTATTACTGTGTAATGTCCATTGTTGAGATATGACTTTTATTGTGTGTCAGAAGGTTATTACTGTGTAATGTCCATTGTTGAGATATGACTTTTATTGTGTGAGAAGGTTATCACTGTGTAATGTCCATTGTTGAGATATGACTTTTATTGTGTGAGAAGGTTATTACTGTGTAATGTCCATTGTTGAGATATGACTTTTATTGTGTGTGAGAAGGCTATTACTGTGTAATGTCCTTTGTTGAGATATGACTTTTATTGTGTGTGAGAAGGCTATTACTGTGAAATGTCCATTGTTGAGATATGACTTTTATTGTATGTCAGAAGGCTATTACTGTGTAATGTCCATTGTTGAGATATGACTTTTATTGTGTGAGAAGGTTATTACTGTGTAATGTCCATTGTTGAGATATGACTTTTATTGTGTGAGAAGGTTATTACTGTGAAATGTCCATCGTTGAGATACGACTTTTATTGTGTGAGAAGGTTATTACTGTGAAATGTCCATTGTTGAGATATGACTGTTATTGTCTGAGAAGGTTATTACTGTGTAATGTCCATTGTTGAGATATGACTTTTATTGTGTGAGAAGGTTATTACTGTGTAATGTCCATTGTTGAGATATGACTTTTATTGTGTGAGAAGGTTATTACTGTGTAATGTACATTGTTGAGATATGACTTTTGTTGTGTGCGGTTATTACTGTGTAATGTCCATTGTTGAGATATGACTTTTATTGTATGTCAGAAGGCTATTACTGTGTAATGTCCATTGTTGAGATATGACTTTTATTGTGTGAGAAGGTTATTACTGTGTAATGTCCTTTGTTGAGATATGACTGTTATTGTCTGAGAAATATGGTTATTACTGTGTAATGTCCATTGTTGAGATATGACTTTTATTGTGTGAGAAGGTTATTACTGTGTAATGTCCATTGTTGAGATATGACTTTTATTGTATGTCAGAAGGCTATTACTGTGTAATGTCCATTGTTGAGATATGACTTTTATTGTGTGAGAAGGTTATTACTGTGTAATGTCCATTGTTGAGATATGACTTTTATTGTGTGAGAAGGTTATTACTGTGTAATGTCCTTTGTTGAGATATGACTTTTATTGTATGTCAGAAGGCTATTACTGTGTAATGTCCATTGTTGAGATATGACTTTTATTGTGTGAGACGGCTATTACTGTGTAATGTCCTTTGTTGAGATATGACTTTTATTGTGTGAGAAGGTTATCACTATGCTATGTCTATTGTTGAGATATGACTTTTATTGTGTGAGAAGGTTATCACTATGTTATGTCCATTGTTGAGATATGACTTTTATTGTGTGTGAGAAGGCTATTACTGAGATATGACTTGTATTGTGTGAGGTTATTACTGTGAAATGGCCATTGTTGAGATATGACTTTTATTGTGTGAGAAGGCTATTACTGTGTAATGTCCTTTGTTGAGATATGACTTTTATTGTCTGAGAAGGTTATTACTGTGTAATGTCCTTTGTTGAGATATGACTTTTATTGTGTGTGAGAAGGCTATCACTGAGATATGACTTGTATTGTGTGAGAAGGTTATAACTGAGATATGACTTGTATTGTGTGAGAAGGCTATTACTGAGATATGACTTGTATTGTGTGAGAAGGCTGTTACTGAGATATGACTTTTATTGTGTGAGGTTATTACTGTGTAAAGTCCTTTGTTGAGATATGACTTTTATTGTGTGTGAGAAGGCTATTACTGAGATATGACTTGTATTGTGTGAGAAGGTTATAACTGAGATATGACTTGTATTGTGTGAGAAGGCCATTACTGAGATATGACTTGTATTGTGTGAGAAGGCTGTTACTGAGATATGACTTGTATTGTGTGAGAAGGCTATTACTGTGTAATGTCCATTGTTGAGATATGACTCTTACTGTGTGAAATATCTATGAGACAGTGTGAAATATTTGAACATTTTATAGATACTTGCAAAGAAAATAAAACCAGACAATTTCAATTGTTAACAGTTTTATTAGGAAATTCAAATGACAATGAAATTCTCATGTTATATTTCCTCAAATACAATGGTATTGAAGAAGCACATAAAAATATTACTAAAGAAAACAAATTCAAAGCTAGTGATAAGATGTCAGAGTTATTGCTAGATTATCAGATGAAGCAGCAAGCAAGTCTTGTCTTGAGCAGAAAGCAACAAGTGCCAAGTTCCACGTCAGCAGTCACAATTCGATTCTACCAAAGCCATAACAAGTGATTCTGCAAGAAACCTAGGGATTGTTTTCGATTCTGCGATGAATTTCAAAGGCCATGTCAGCAAAATTTGCAGTAAGTCATACTGCCACATCAGGAACATCAGCCATATCCGACAGTTTCTGACTGAGGAGGCAGTCACACACTAGTCCAAGCTGTTGTCATCTCCCAGCTGGACTACTGCAATAGCCTAATGTATGGCATAACCAAGACTCAGTTGGTCAAACTGCAGCGGATACAGAACACTGCTGCAAGAATGATCATGGTACCCGGAACATCACTCCAGTACTGAAAGGTCTGCACTGGCTGCCAATGAATGAAAGGATACAGTTCAAAGTCCTGGTTCTGGTAGGCCAAGTAGAGCCTTAAGATCGACATCAGGCTTGACTGTCGCTGTGCCAGTAACATGAACAGCAACATATGGAGATCGGTCATTCTCCAAGGGTGGTGCTGACCTCTGGAACAAGCTCCCTGAAGATCTGCAATCCACTGAGACTCTGGGAAACTTCAGAGGAAAACTGAAAACATTCCTCTTCTCGAGAGCATATGACTGAGCGTCTTTGAGCAGAGTCCTGATAAAGGCGCTATATAAATATCTAGTTTATTATTAGTATTATAACTACAAGTCCTTCAACAAAGATTTGCAACAGTCCCAGTACCTCTACCACTTGCATGACACTTCATCTCAACATACAATACCGCGTCTCAGCTCCTGCATTTTAACGTAGTAACTCCTGCACAGGCTGAGACACGTCCTACAGTGGTCACATGGACTGCTGCTTCACCTCAACACGGACTTATGCCAGTGGAAGTGTATTGTAACTGCTGAGTGGAACTCCTCATGTAATGTAACAACATAAACATTTGTTCCCACAATGACTATATCTAACTAATTAAACATTTTATCAGATCTATTCTTTACCCACATACGAGACCTGCTCGACAGTGCTGCAGCCTTATGCCTGCTATGCCTGCTTAGATCGCCTTTTGATATTCAGAGTATTCATATACCTAACTGACCAACCGAAACTCACACAGTGATTATAATCAAACAACCATATCAAAAATAATATTCAAATTTCCAATCACAGAAGCAAAGTATCCTGTGTCTCCTATGTTTTTGTAAGAATAGTGAGTTAGTTTGGTTTAATGCCACATTGAACAGTATTAGATATATACTGGTGGAAACAAATATGGGAACACATGAAAGTACAAGCGTTCCTATATTCCTTTCTTGGTTTATCCCTACGCTTTGTATTGAACTCTGGACATAGATATAGGAACAGTTTACATTCATGTGTTTCCTTATATTTTCCCATCAGTATATCATGACAAGTCAGCTTAATATGTCATCTCACTTCGGTGAAACCCACATGTACCGATATGGAATTGACACACCTAGAAACATAATCTAGGTGTTCAAGGATATTAGTACAACAATCGTTTTGATTTTGACTTATAAAACATTTTACTGCTTGTTTTGCTAACCACCTCGTGATCTCTTTGTTTTTATATACATTATTATCTGGGGCCTGGTGTAGGCATGGATGTCGATTACTAAGATCAGTGCTACTCGCTCAGCTTATTACCAGGCTTGAGAATATTGAAAACTGATCTAATTAGAACCAGGCAAAGAAAATACATCCACTTCTTGGACTAATTTGCATGAAAATATTTGCAGGAAGAAAAATATGATATGATTCCACACAAGATACCCCAAAAGTACATGTATGTACAGCTATATACATGGAGACATGGAGACGTTCGCAGTGACTGAAGTCACCTAATGCTTGTCAGGATAATGGAAGCCCTGACTCATCTCAAAAACATTCTTTGGTCGTGACAATACCCTTGGAAACAAATTACCACTTGTCCAAACATGAAACAGGACAATTCAATACCACTCTCATGGGCTAATATATGGGCTAAATACTAAATTATCAGATTAAGGTAACCACATAAAAGATTTGTTCAAACATGAAACAGGATAATACCATACGACTGTTTAAGGCTAATATCATACTAAGTTTTCAGATTATTAAGAATCGGATCAGAAAACAGATTCAGTCCAAAGATTAAAACTGATAAAGTTGTAAAAACAGGAAGACAGACAATATTTTTAGTTCATAACATAACAATGTAATATGTAGAGTGTAAAAATGTAAATAATGCAATTCAGGTGGAGATACATGCTAACACTGTAACAGGTGTGTGATCACTGTGTAACAATTCTAGAAACACAAACAAAACCCATACATTAATGTCTAATAAATACTATTTCAGCTGTGTATGATATTTGTGCATCTCTGTTTAACAATGTAGAACACAACACTAAAAATCATTACAAACAATAGTTCCCCTTTGAATGATGGGCTTTTGTTAAAACGACAACAGAATTGAGCTGGAGAGCATACAGCGACAAGAAGACATTGAAGCACTCTTAAAATCCTGTGGATAGCCTCTCCTTCCAAAGGGAGACTACTCTTGCTTTCAGACATCCGTTGAATGTTACCACAAGTACCAAGCACCAGATATTTCATACACTGAAGGAAGGATTTTAAAATATTGAAAACAAGATAAACATGTAATAAATATATTGTCGTATACTTGGAATATCATAGTCCAAATGTCATTTCCAAATGTGTAAATTTAACATGTTAAGTAATCTTGAAAAACGATTTGATTTTTCTGAGATGAATGCACAATATACTGAAATATTGAATCATATTTAGGCACTTGAGATAAATGCTTGTAGAAATATTGTAACAAACTAATAAGACGATATCTGTTTCCAGTGTAACACATGGCAGTATTTCTGTTGACATACACAATAATATTATGAGAGATAATGAAAGCGCTCAAATACATTCTACTGTTGTTTCTTCAGAAAGTATTGAAACAACACTGTCATATATAGTTATGTTGGCATACATCAAAAGATGTGTCTACAGTAAATTTGGGATTTGATTCACATTATCAAAGTTACTTGGATTACCTACTTTTCCATGAAAACATAGAAATATCATACAGACCATGAAGTCATATTTCTGCAAGTAATTTCTGCAGTGCAGTGAACCTTTTAATATGAATCATCAATTTTTATTTACAACAAACAACAAGTTAAAATCATAAACATGAGAAAATAAATATTCATTATTGTTTTGGTGTAAGTGCAATTTCTAAAGAAATTTCATCACCTGTTTAGTCATTTATCAATGACACATATATTATATCCATTTCAGACAGGATTATTTCAAGAAGAATCGTTGAATCAGTTTTAAGTAATCAATTTGAATGGTTAGTTATAAGTTTCAAATTTGATAACCAACATATTTACATAAATGAGCCCACTACCAAAGTGACAATGAGATTAGAAATTTAATAATTCTCACAGCAGTAAACCCCCTCCCCACTTACCATAGGTAACAAGTTTAACAGCTGTGATAGATACACATAGCAATGCCTTTAATGTATTGCAGATAAGGTTTGCATCGTTAGTAGAAATTAACTCAATACAGTAAACCTGTATAAATGTGTAGATGCAATCATATCAGAAATCCTAATCCCCTTAATTAACCATATGTATGCCATTAGGCATTGTCCTGGTCCACAAACAGGGTGTAGGGCGTGGTCCACACGGTCAGACGATGTTGCATGTTGCGGATGAGGTCTGCAGCACGGCTCGCCTCCATGGCGTGAAGGACGATGGAGAGGAATATGAAGCAGAGCGCCAGAATGGCCACGTGGAATGACCAATCAAGGGCGACCGTGTGGCCATCAAGGCCAAACATGTCCTCGCAATCCAGGCCGAATAGAACAACAGCTACAAGCTCGATGGACACTGTAAACAAATTAGATTTGGCTTATTAATTATCTGACTTGTGATGGCAGGTGTTTGGGTGTTTGGGTGTGGGTGTGATATGGGTGTGGGTGTGGGTGTGGGTGTGGTGTGGGTGTTGATATGGGTGTTGATATGGGTGTGGGTGTTGATATGGGTTTGGGTGTGGGTGTGGATGTGGGTGTGGGTGTGGGTGTTGATATGGGAGTGGGTGTTGATATGGGTGTGGGTGTTGGTGTTGATATGGGAGTGGGTGTTGATGTTGGTGTGGGTGTGGGTGTTGATGTGGGTGTTGATGTGGGTGTGAGTGTGGATGTGGGTGTGGATGAGGGTGTTGGTGTGGATGTGGGTGTTGGTGTGGGTGTGGGTGTGGGTGTGGATGAAGGTGTGTAGGTCTTGATACTGGCCAACGTTTTACATCTGGCAAATCTCTGGACACAGTGTGCTTTAAGTTCTTGAATAAATCATTAAAATGAACTCCTTTAGTTATGACTAAATAGCAAATTATATTCAACATAAATGAAACAAACAACATGAGCAATCTCAGACAGTTGTTACACTTCAACTCATGAAATTGTATATATTTTACAGGTGCTTCAAACACCCTTGATCAATGACGCCCCAGCTGTCCAAGGGTTCCATAGAGTATGCTCAGGTTGTATATCAACAGGTGACACCATTACAAGCAACCCTTGTGGAAATAAAGACATCAACAGCAGGGATCTCCCCATTTAAACTGAGCAGATTTCATACATATGTTTCTCATATGAAAAAATTACCATACAGGCGTTTAAAAGTGAATGGCATGTACCATTTTGTTGCCTGAGTGATGAGGAATGGGTTGTCTATATCTTCCCCCTGCGTACACTAAAAGGGGGTCTTGGACTCATATCACAAGAACCTATTGTCGATAAAAATGCTACAAAGGATGGAGAGATCAGGTTTGGTGCCATGTTAATGCTACAATAAACTACAACTGTCCACATGTTCAAGACTTCCCCAACATGGCGCCCATGGCCATTACAGAAGGGTGGATGTCTAAGCAGTGTTCTGATTTGTTGGTCATTCCTTGAAGGATCATGAAATATCCCGAGTTACAGAGCAATGTAACATACACGACACCTCAGAGGACCAAGGATGGAGGGAATAAATAGGATAGAGGGAATATATAGGATAGAGGGAATAAATAGGATGAATTATTCATCGATCATTTAGTACAGGCACGGGGGATTATGCGAGACCAAGCGACTCTGAAGCCACAGTGTTAACCAGTGGAGTGGTAACGTCTATGTACAATACTATGTAACATACATGGATATTCTCAAAGACTTTTAGGGGCGGTAGGGTAGCCTAGTGGTTAAAGCGTTCGCTCGTCACCCTGAAGACCCGGGATCGAATTTCCACATGGATACAATATGTGAAACCCATTTCTGGTGTCCCCTGCCATGATATTGCTGGAATATTGCTAAAAGCACCAGACTTCCAGGGGGTCAGCTGACCAATGCTAAAGGATTACAAAATTCCTTAGTTTTCTACAGTTGAAAACCCTGGGTTTGTTTGGAAAAGCAGTTGTAGATCTAGATTCTGTTGGACTCGGTCATTGTTTCGTTTACATATTTTCAGGTAATTTTTCTTGATACACTGAATAGATTGCCATGTGAGCATGCCCTGTATGGGCAGTCTTCCAGCTAATTTTTTGTATGTACGTTGTTCATAGTGAACATGCCAGTTTGCATCTGGTGGAATATAAACATAGTTCCTTTCTGACTGTTTCCCTCCACACTTTTAATTAGCTTATGGTTGATGGATCTTGAAGATCCAGTTTAAGCAAGTGAGTGAGTGAGTTGGCTTTGAATAGTATTCCAGTAATGTCAGATTAATGATGGAGGAAAGCCAAAAGAGCATTGCTGTTCTTTTCTTGGTTTGTTATTTTTTAAACACTTGGACATTATCTAAATTATTTGGTCCAAATTATTAAAAACAATTCATAGTTTCCAAAATGTCATTATTTAAAGTTTCCCACTTGAGTTACCAACTTTAAGATTTCTGGTGCAGTGTTGGACTCATCTTTGAAACAGGTGCATGTGAAGGTTTATACGCAACAAGTATTTTGTAGAATTGTAATGAGATCAATTTAGGCCTCTGCCATATTGGCCAGCAGAGGTAGAACAAACTGCTATTTATGTATTGTTGTTTTCTAGAAGAAGAGAACATTTCAGGATATCATGAGAAATAGCTGGTTGGTAACTTGAAATACATCCATCTCTTTTGGCCATATAGATTTAATAGAGCTAAGCCGAATTTTCACATGAAATATCAGTTCTTATCTACGTATTATTGGATATGTTCATGCAACTGGAGATGATGTATAACACTTCTTAGGCTCTAACCAAGGTCATCACCATATCAACCTACAGCCAGGTGATAAGCCACAATTATCACATACCTATCAAGAATATGATGCCTTTTGTGTATGTGAAAGAGCTGACACACAGATGGATATATCACAAGGGGTGTAAAAACCAGTTTCCTATAACTCTACCTGCCAGGCTGATACGGTCTGTCAATCCATTGTGCATGTTCAAAGTGGCAATATATTCCTAACACAGTAAAAATATATTGCATTCACTTTCAAATACTCTTTACAACCTGTTGTTCATCCTCGATAATCTCCAAGGTATATGTTCCGATAGAATCTCCACTATTATACCCTGGATGCATCTACGGCTCGGCCCCATAATCTCTTTACCTCCCTTGACTGGCTTTTTATCCAATCAGGTGTCTATGCTGGGAAGTTGAGCGTACCAATCACAACTCACTTTCGCTTCTTTTATCTAACCGATTAAACTTGGCAACACATTTGTTGCAGAGGTACTTTAAAAGTGGTAGAAAGGGTTCTTGCATATATTTTTCAATTTGTCAGTGTGACTTCCCCCAAATCTGAGTCACACTGTGAACAAACCTTCGCGGCTGCTACTGCTATCTTTGTTGACACTGGCAAGCTCAGTTGTAACAACGGCTTAGCTGTTTGGTTACTGTGAGCATGTGGAGCCAGCAAGGGGTGGTAATAAAATTATTGGGTTAAGCCATAGATGCATCCAGGGTACTAGTGGAGTTTTATCGCAACGTATACCCTGGAGATTATCAAGGATGCCTGTTGTTATGCCATAGGATAAACATTTTCCAGTATCAAGTATATGGTGGTTTCATATCATAGCATTCTGCCAAATGGCTGATTCAATGGTTTCAGGTTTACATTGAGGAAACTTATGAAACATACAATGTAATAATACATACATATCAACCAGTGCCATGTGATAATACATATATTATACAATTATAGACTCTTGTAGAGGTCGATATCGGTTTTATTGACCTGAGAGCGAGGTCGATATTGTTTTCTCAGGTCAATAAAAGCCGATATCGACCTCTACAAGGGTCTATAATTGTTTTATTATATAATGAAAGAGAAACGGGTTTTAACATAAACTTTTAATGCACACACTGTGCCATCTATCCGAGTGATCTGATTGGCTGAAAAGCGGGTTAAGCCCCTTCGTACGGGATTCCTTCTCTATTTTTAGTAACCCAAGTCAATATCGTAATTTATCAGAAAACTCAAGTCAATATCGTGTTTTGTAGTCAATCATGTGACGGTCTTTTGACCAATCGTGGTACAGGAAAAATGCTACCTATATAATAAAGTAAAATATGGCAAGGTGATAATACATAATAGTAAATATACCACCCTATGGCAAGGTGATAATACATATATAGTAAAATATACCACCCTATGGCAAGGTGATAATACATATATAGTAAAATATACCACCCTATGGCAAGGTGATAATACATATATAGTAAAATATACCACCCTATGGCAAGGTGATAATACACTATGGCAAGGTGATAATACATAATAGTAAATATACCACCCTATGGCAAGGTGATAATACATATATAGTAAAATATACCACCCTATGGCAAGGTTATAATACATATATAGTAAAATATACCACCCTATGGCAAGGTCATAATCAGCTGTCAGCAATAATCCAAGTAATAGTATGATGCCATATGTTATACAATTCATAAAGCCTGTCACCAGAATCTATATTGAAAGAAGGAACCTGTAGATGTGAATGGGTACTTCATAGGGATGGGAAAGCCACATTAACTTTGTGCGTCTAGTGGCTGCACGAGTTGTATGGTCCCCAGGGAGTTGTGATTGAAAATATGATGTGCCGTTGAGATTGACATCCAATGATTGAGGGAAAACATGCTTTGAGCATGCGTGTAGATGGGATGGACTATAGCGCTATATAAATACCCATATAATAATAATAATAATAAAATAGATACTCACGTGTCATGATGTTGACAATGGTGAGAGACTTGAATCCGCTGTGAGACTCGAAGAATCGGATATGGTAGAGGAAGGACATGACCAGTCCCAGGAGTGATCCGACACATCCCAGCAGTAGAGTGGCCTGCACAGTCCGGAACCACACTGGAACACACACAATATGTCGTCGTCATTAAACACAGGATATATGGAGGAACCATGCAAATGTCACCTTGGTTAGTCCACGAACATCAGAGAAGAAGAAATATTCATGTGAAAAACACTTTCCAAGTTCAGTGTTTGGTTTACTGGGGTCACAGAGTCACTTTCAAATATTCTGATACAAGAAAGAGACTCTCTTTGAAGTGCTATAGGTCACCAGCCCTCACCTTTTCTCTGAAGCAATGGCTGTTTTGGCTTGGAATTACTAAGAGGGCAACAGGTCAAATTGGTCAAGATTGGGAGATTATGTGAGACAAGGTGATTCTGAAGCCACAGTGTTATCCCATGGGGTGGTAACGTCTATGTACAACACCATGTAACGTACATGGATGTTCTTCAAGACATTTAGGGGCGGTAGGGTAGCCTGGTGGTTAAAGCGTTTGCTCGTCACGCCGAAGACCTGGGATCGAATTTCCACATGGGTACAATATGTGAAACCATTTCTGGTGTCCCCTGCCATGATATTGCTGGATTATTATTCATTCAATATTGCTTACATTAAAGTCAGCAAAACCAAGTATTAAGTTATTTACAGCAGCGCTACTGACACCTTGAAATGAACTTTAGTTGACAGAGATTGGATGCATTTAACATAAATGCCATACTTTGACTTGTCTAACGTGATATTTGTTGCAGTTTGACTATAACCTGTCAACGTCAAGTTTTCACGATTGCAAACACAGTATAAGGTAGTTTCACCTGACGTAAGACACAAGGAAGCTGTAGAGAGGTTTTGTGGGAATGACTGGTTTGCCCTCAGCAGGGGGTCTTGGACAGAAGGAAGGTGCTCTATGTGTGTTGTGACCTCTACTTTTGGGGACTGTAAGATTTGTGAATAATTTGACTTTCAAAATATTTATTTCCTCATTAATCAAAACGAGGGAAGGAACATGTGATAGTTTCATATTATTAAAGTTAGGGGCATGACAGATTAACGATCTACAGCTAATTCATCTAACTGCATTTAACTGTGTTAAGTATATGATTGATTTGATACCTCGTCCTTTTATGCTAATCAGAATGTGTCAATTGGGGGAATTTTTATGTTTCTTCATGGTCATGCAGGTTTCGAATCAAACAAACATACTTTAAAATAACCAACAAAAAGGTTTGTATATTTTTCTAGAGTCTACGATGAACAAACACCCGTTGATTTCAGCCTAGGCCATGAATGTTATAGTATTGTGGAACATAGGCAGATCCAGAGGGGGCTGCCGGGGGGTGCACCCCCCCTTTTGTACTGAAAGTTTATTAAATGACCATTGAAACTCAGGTGAAAATGAAGTGTGCACCCTCCCTTTTCTCAATAGTGTGTGCACCCCCCCTTTCTCAAAAAGCTGTATCCGCCCCTGGTGGAATTTTGAGAGTGTTGTGGTTTTGTCTATTGGGGCAATGTTACGTTTATATTTGTATATTCTCAAATGCTAAACTTTTATTAGAATACTACACTGGATTGTTTAGAACATATACCATTGCTTACCATTTGCAACCAGAATTCACTGATACAGCCAATCCATAAAGGCTAAGTTTGTCCATTACCCCATACCCTTTAATCCATGTGTCAAGGTTAATGACATTTGTCCAAACAGGCTATATATTATTAAGGATTGTTATAAGTTTTCCTGAACAAAACTGTTCAGTTGTGCTTAATAGTTTTACAGTTGTCATCAGTTAATATCTAATTATTCTAACATTAAATGAGGTGCCATCATGTGAACCGGCAACATCAATCTTCTGCATGGACAGCAGACAATTCCCATCAAGTTTGCACTTGACATATTCTTACGGTGGTGAATGGTTATTTTACTCATGGGGAAAGTAGCCTTAAGAGTATGATGGAAATGGTGAAAATTATTCGACTTAAGGGAAATCGGGCTATAAAATTTGTCATTCATCCATCAAAACCTGAGAAAGTCCATAAAATAATTGTAAAGAGGATAATGACAGCTAAAGCAGCTGGATTCTGAGCATGCCATCTTTCATTGCGAGAAATGGCTATTACAAAGGTCATATTCAGTTTGGCAATGCTCAGTTGGTTCGATATATGGGGGCTAGTTACTGACCGACTGACCACAGCTAGCCCAAATCAATATTGAAGCTGAATTACTGCCAGGGAAAGGATGTTTAGCCCCCCGACAGCCTATACACCCACTACTGAAATGACTTGACAGCTTACTGGCCATCTTGACATTATACAGACAACAGTGAACTGATTCCAGTTTTCATACAAAAGGTCTCATGTACGATGACCAAAGTGCGGGTTTATCTTTAATAATTAACTGAAAATATTGCATTGAAATGTTTTTCAATGTTTTCATCCAGTTTTGTAATCACAAGTGTGGCAAGGGGTCTTAGATTATATACTCACTCTGATAGGTAAAACATTTTTCAGGGCCTGATCGCTTGCAGAAGCCTTAGGTCTGCCATTATTGAACAGACCAATGACTTCCACAGATGATGAAGCCCTGAACCGTGTTACTGTTATTGTAGCTAATATGGACAGAATCAGCCCTGGGCATGATGGTATATTCTATACCAACCTAATCAAACAATGGCAGTTGTGACATCCACACAAAGGACCCTGAGGTCAGTCGTAATCAGCAACAAATTACAGTGTTAAAAGTTGCATGATTTGTCTTCAATTCAGCCAACATGAAAAGCCAAGTTAGTTGAGCTAGTCTAATGACTGATGTTGACAAATGACCACAATCCTGCCAAAACATTGCCCTTCAGCGGTGTTCACTGCTGGCCAGCGGTATCACTGTTTACTTTCCTAGGAGTCTACGTTTCCATATTCAATGCTCAAAACATCATCAACCCACATACCATCAGTGAGTTTGTGAGTCACAGTTTGTTTATGCAGATAAGCAATAACATCATATTGCAAAATGATCGATAATGACCAGTCGTCAGGCAATATAAAGGCATTATCAAGCAAATCCTGAGTCTCATAACATTCACTGTTGTATAACTCAATATTCAGTTTATATCGATTGATATTACCTACCATTACATTATAAGCATGCCTATATTACAAGTATTTACATCCCCAGGGGATAATATATATGTTGTGTCACCTACATCTCTACATATTACTGGTAACCATATATTTTTACGAAGGCAGAATTTGTTTCCATTCCCATATATGGTCAACTGACCTATGAATATATTTTTGGCTTTCAGATTTTTTCCTCCAATCAGCTGTCATACAAGGGAAGAGAAAATAGACATTAGCCTCAACCTGTGGTTCCTTTGATTTTGAAAAGTTTGATTTTCCTTGAAATTTAAGGTGTTAAATTGTCCAAGCTGTTTTATACACAGGGTGAGACTGCAATAACTATCTTATATCCATGTCTTCCAGTGACACTTTATGCATGTCTGTTGTCAAATATATCAAATGAACTCTTATAAAAACACTTGACCATCTGTGTAAACACACTGTGTACATAGTTTGTTTACATGTGTATCTTCACAGAGGTACGGTCTAGCTGGCTATGGCTACTGTCAAGGATACAAAGCTTACTCTGCCCAGACTTGGTCGTATCACATATACTTCCTAAATCTTCCCTACTCAGTTAATCGGCTTTATTACAAGGCTGACAGTGGCAGACAATTAAACTATCAGATATACAGACTTGCTGTCAACGGCTTCAGGTTAAGAACCTTAACTTAATTTGTCAGCACTGATAGCCCCATTAAGCAAGCGACCGCAAGCAAGGTGAACCTCCAGCAATCAGTGGGGATGTTATGAAGCGTCTCCCAAACTAGTGTACCGCTAATGTTACTATGACAGCAGTGTACGCTTAGTGACAGCAGTAGTGTACCTGATTAGTATCACACAAACAAGTGTGTATTTGTACAGTGTAGCCAAGATAACAATAGTGTACCTTCAGTGTTAACGGAAGGATTAGTCGTGTATCTGTGTTGCCATGACAACAGTAGTGTACTTCTAGTGTCATCACGTGTACCTTCAGTGTTAACAGGGGGTTATTAGTGTATCTCTGTGTCGCCATGAAAACAGTAGTGTACCTCCTCTGTCATCACGACAGTGTATTTGTAGTGTCGCCAAGACAACAATAGGGTACCTTTAGTGTTAATGGAAGGATTATTAGTGTATCTCTGTGTTGCCATGACAACAATAGGGTACCTTGTAGTGTTAATGGAAGGATTATTAGTGTATCTCTGTGTTGCCATGACAACAGTAGTGTAAATCTAGTGTCATCCTGACAACAGTGTATTTGTAGTGTCGCCAAGACAACAATAGGGTACCTTTAGTGTTAATGGAAGGATTATTAGTGTATCTCTGTGTCGCCATGACAACAGTAGTGTACCACTAGTGTCATCCTGACGACAGTGTATTTGTAGTGTCGCCAAGACAACAATAGGGTACCTTTAGTGTTAACGGAAGGATTATTAGTGTATCTCTGAGTCACCATGACTACAGTAGTGCACCACTAGTGTCATCACTGACGACAGTGTATTTTAGTGTCGCCAAGACAACAATAGTGTACCTTCAGTGTTAACGGAAGGATAAGTCATGTATCTCTGTGGTGCCATGACAACAGTAGTGTACCTTCTGTGTTAACAGCGGATTATTAGTGTATCCCTGTGTCGCCATGACAACAGCAGGGTACCGCTAGTGTCATCATGACGACTGTATTTGCAGTGTTACCAAGACAACAATAGTGTACCTTCAGTGTTAACAGGGGACTATTAGTGTATCTCTGTGTCACCATGACAACAGTAGTGTACCTTCCGTGTGACAGAGGTATTAGTAGTGTACCTCTATTGTCTCCATGACAACAGGAGGCCACACTAAAACAACTATGATGTTCTTATAACATTTTGCCAGACTTCTCTTAATGTGTTTTATGCACTCCACCTCACCTGACTCAAGTGAATAATTTCACCGAAGCAGTTCTTACAGTGACAGCTGTGACAAT